CTTTTTTTTTTTTTTTTTTTTTTTTTTTGAAACAACTCTGCCCCTTCTATTCTGGGGGGCATCAGTCCGGTTGCTTATCACCGGCAAGCATGAGTTTCTAGTGTGGCTCTTCTGCATCAGCTGTTGGTTGCACTTCATGTCTGTGCACAGCTCACATTTGGCTGTTATCCATGACACGTTATAATTATTTACTACCGGCTGACCGCCAACTGACAGGTGTGCACGTGGATGCATGGACCTTCGTGCATGTTTTCGAAAACAGGTAGACAAGGGGGAAGGGAGGGGGAGGGGGCCCTGTGTTGGACGCATGAGAGAGGGACGCCTTTTGTCCAAATCATGTGAGGAAATGCACCATGTGGATGTTCCTTGCTGTGCACAGTCGAAGTCATTTGTCCGCACATGGGGTCCACTGTGCCGGCATGGAGGGCTGAAAACGGTGCGTCCAGCATCCGCGCCTTGCACTATCCATGACACCCCTGGCAACCTTTTGTAAAAAAAAAAAAAAAAAAAAAAGAGAGAAGGGGGAGGGAGAGGGAAGGCCAAAGTTGGGAAGGAGGGAAAGAGTGAAACAGGAATCCAGTAGATCATCCATTCACAACGAGTCCCTAGTACTCCCTACTCAAATCCAGAGTTACCCCCTTGACACCCAAGCATTTCTACTGGGCATGCTCTGCTTTATTAAATTTATTTTCATATACAGCTTTTATTTCTTAGTAGAAAAGAAATGGCTAATTTGAGAGAGCGGTAATGTGAAACTCTTTCTCGTTAAACCACCACTACCTTTCCAAGCTGTAGTCCCATTCGGGAAAATGACGTCAAGCGCAAAGTTCGGGGGTCCGGGCGAGGGTTGGCAAAAACAAAACATTGGGCCTTGTGGGCCCGATCGGAGAAAAAAAAAAAAAAAAAAAGAAACTGCAGAGTTGAAAGGAAGGGCGTCGGGGAAGGGCACGAAAGAAGTGTGCTGAGAGCAGTGCCTCCAGGAATGCATCAGCCACGAAAGAAGTGTGCTCAGAGCAGTGCCTCCAGGAATGCATCTGCCCAGAATCATCGATAGTTTCATTTTTTGTTTTTTGTGTTTTTTATTTTTTTCTTCTAACTTAGTTTTAGTGTCCTGCTGACGAGGCAGGGCTCTTTCCACGGACAACTGACACTTGCAACCAACGGGGCACTCTCACATCGCCTTGAGATTCTGTTTCCACCTGCTTTTACGTCCAAAGAGTCATTGCTGTTTTTGCTTTTTTTTTTTTTGTACTGCCGTGTGTGCTGAGGGCTGTAATGCCCGTTGGGAGGGCATATTCTCACTTGTGTCCAATGTTCTGTATCCAGCTGCTTTCACGTCCAAAGAGTTGTTGCTTTTTTAAAGTTTTTTCCCTTTTTTTTTTTTTTTTTTTTTTTTTTTT